GCTCCCTCATTTTATTGTGATTATTATTACTATACTACACTAGCACTATAACCGTTGTTGTAAACAGACTTTGTACATTGTGAAAGGAGGCAGCCAAGGAAGAAGTAGAAAGGGTAAGGAGCACTTTTGGACGGTCTGCTGATTCTGTCTCCAGCGTATGGTGCCTGGGCAGATTTCTGGTGCGTTGTCAGAAACAATTAGGGTGTGACTAATTTCTCACAAAACTAAGTGAACAAGCTTTAAGACAAATCCTGGAAGAGCTGTAAATAATGCCCCAAGGCAAAGATTTCCACAGAGAAATTACTTATGTGATTGTAATGGCACCATCCGTGGTGGTGGGAACTACCGAGTTCTATGTGGTGACTATGAGGCAGGCTGTGGAGGGTGCCTGGGGGGAGGTAGGACTTCCCCGCTGTGTTCCCAGAACTGAGAACTGTTTGTCACCTGATTTGTTTGGTGACTCCTGCCTGACAGCTGAAAGGTATAGCCCTGTGGTGAGCCCAATTCCACAACTGCTCACGAGGAAGCAGAAGCGCAAGCAGCTGAAGTGACTTCAGCAGCCACAGGCCTCATCTGTGTGGTAGGTCAGCGAGTCTCATGACTTTGACCTACTGTGTACAGACGCAACGTGCCTAAAAATAGGAGGTCCTAGGAACAGACAACAAAACAGGGGGTTCCCACAAATGGAACTGAGATAAGCTTAATCAAAACAAATATTCTCTATGAATTGAGAGAAAGACTAGAATGTTTTTAAAGTCTGTTTCCTCCACATTCCCTGTGAGACGACATCATTCTGTCTTCCAGTAGCAATGTGGTAGATTTGCTTATTTCCTACTGTGCTTAAGAGCCACACTACCAGAGTCCTGGCAGATTCATTCATCTTACCCTCAATACTGAAGTGAAATTTCTCTTTCTCTGTTTTCTTCTCTGGTTGGGGAATGAAGATTGCCCCAAAGACTTCAGAGAGCACCTGACTCCTGTGTAGAGAGATTCTCACCTTAGAGATGTAAACTCATAGGTAACTTCCGAGACTATGGCTACATTTAATTTGCATGGTTGGCTGTGCATCCTAGGACCTGATGTTCTTCTGATCACTAAGGTGTCTTGGAGGGATAGCTGGAGGGATCTATGTGTGCTTGTGTGTGCCATCATTTTATCCAAGGTCTTTAGGCCTTAGAATCTGTTCTCCAGAGGGAAAAGCAATTGGGGTGTGTGTGTATGTGGGGTGATGTAAATAAGAGGTGTTGCTTGGCTGCAGTAAAAACTTGTATTTCCCTCCTATTTGAGTCAACATTTACTTTCTCCCCCAACTCATCACTAGGCTTCTAACCCCAATATTGAGCAGTGTGAGTGTATTTGGAGATAGGAACTTGAAAAGAGGCAAGTAATGTGATAAATTAATGGGAGGTCAATATGGTGGACCCTAATTTAGTCTTAGTATTACCGTCTTTATAAGAAGAGGAGGCTTGAATACATACAGAGACACTAAGGGTGACTGTGCTTAGGGAAAGGAACAAGCTAGCAATCTGGACATCAAGGAGAGAGGCTTCAGGGCAAACTAAACCTGCTACTACCCTGAACTTGGATCCTAAATTCCAGAAATGTGAGAAAATTAATTTCTGCGGCCCAAGTCACTCAGTCTGTTGTATTTTGTCATGACAGCTTTGGTCATTTAGGGTCCCTGTATATTTTTATCTGTTGGGGAATATTCTTTTAAGGTGTGCTATTTTTGTTTATGTTGCATTTGTTTAACTCTGTGAAGCTGGGTTACTTTGCCTGTCCAAAACACCCGATGGTCTAATAAAGAACTGAATGGCCAATAGCAAGGCAGGAGAAAGGATAGGTGGGGCTGGCAGGCAGAGAGAGAACATATAGAAGCAGAAATCTGGGAGGAGAAGAAGAAAGGAGATGGAGGAGAGAGAAGAAGCAGCCAGAGAGGGAGGAGGACTTCAGAGGCTAACCACCCAGCTACACAGCCACCTAGCTACACAGCCACCCAGCCACACAGCTACACAGCTACACAGCCAGCCACAGAATAGGAGTAAGATTTAAGAAGTAAGAGAAAAGGGAAAAGCCCAGCGGCAAAAAGTAGATGGGATAATTTAAGTTAAGGAAAGCTGGCTAGAAACCAGCCAAGCTAAGGTCAGGCATTCACAAATAAGAGCAAGCCTCTGTGTGTTTTTTATTTGGGAGCTAGGTAGCAGCCCGCCCCCCCCCAAAAGAACAAAAGCAAACAACAACATATATCTATTTCATTCTCCATCTTTTCCTTCATGAAATGTAATGTGCCATCCCTATCCTAGGCTCTGCCATCCCTGATGCTCTCACTCTGCTGGAAGCTCTGTTGCCCCATGTCCCATGGGTGCTACGAACAGACCTACTTGAAGAAACCCTGCTGGTGACTATTGCACCTTACTCATGTGGAATCTGAGTTCTTATTTCTTCCTCTCATCTGATGAAGGGTTGGATTCTGTCATCTCCTCTTACCCACTCACTGCAAAGTTCAGATTTTACCCCAAGAGCTGTCATGAAAGCCTTAGAGTGAAGATTGCATGCTCGAAGATTTTTCTCTATCTCACTGCTATGGTTTTGCTCCTGTAGCCTTCTTCAAAAGGACTGGAAAAAGCCAACCCAATGTCTAAGCAGGCTTCCTAAACCAACACAAGCCATCTCTATGTCAGCTGCTGGGATTCTTAGACGAGGTTAGAACATGGAGGGTGCATGATCACTGTTTAGTGGACAAACTTCAATGCTAGCCTGCAACTTTCAAGTGACACTTTTTTAGGGACCTGAATAAAATACAATTTCCTTGTCCTCTATCAGCAACTGCAGGCTAATGGGAGCCATTGTGTTGTGTCTTCTAGAGGTCTCAGCTCCCAGCAAGTAAGAGGAGCCGCTCAGGCCTTGACGACTGACAGAGTTCACATTTTGCCGAAGTACATATAGCCATTGCTGTCTACCAGGGCTTTTATTGAGGATCAAGAGTTCTTAGCACGGGTTTTTACAAATTAGTTTCAGAAGTCTATAAGCCTTTAGAATCTGTTCATTCTCACTCCCCCATACATTCCTGTAGGTTCATTTTCTTTCTTTTTCAAAGGAAAATTTTGATTTTTAAAGGGTTCCAGGGATATCACCATATTAAAAACTGATAATTTTTAGCAGACAGATTCTATTTAAGGAGAACACTTGGTGCTTGTTTCTGCATTCTCTCTGTGTGACCCAAATCTAGTTTCACAAGGTTAATCTTTGTGAGAGCACATGTGAAATGCCTCGTTTGAATTTGGTATTGTGATGCTCTCATATGCTTCTAGTCATCAGTATTACAAAGTAAAGACCATTATATCTGGGGATTTGTTATTTTAAAACAGTAAAATAGTATCCATAGATATTTAACTAATCATTTGTGAAGTTTTAGTTTTGTATTAAAAAAGAGACATAATATTTTCTTGCCAGTGTCCTTTGATTTGACTCTAGGATCATTACCAAGATGAAGAGTTTGAACAAGTCATGTTGAAAATACCAGACTCATTTATAATAAAGGATTTAAGGATATTTTCCAATTTCCAAGTCTTTGGCTAGCCTCTCTTTTTACTCTGTTTATACAGGAACTGCCTAATTAGATTTCATAGGGATTTATAAAGTAGATATATGATTGTCAATTTCTGTTTTCTCCCTAGACTCTAATATGTTCTAAATCACTGCACATACTGGCTTCATAGTCCTTTAAATCATTTTGTTTCACATAATAGTTCTGAGTATACTTAAGTAAGACTAGAAGCAGAAATTTAGATGTTCCAAGAGACACAGAAAATCTCAGTAAGTCTTTATAATTCTGAGGGGTTCTCATCAAAAGTTTTTCTTTCCAAATTGTTTGGGAGTAGTTGTATAAGAAACTCCAGACTTATTTATCTACATTTTGAATAAAACCACTGACATTTTTTATCAGTAACCTTTTGATATCTTGCATGAATCTATGATAACTGTTTTGTTCCAAAAGTGTACACTTGCATAAGTATAACTATAATAAATTATATGAAAAAATGTAATGTCAATCTCAGTGATTTCTCAAATGCAGTCTTTTCCAAAGACTTTTAAACCTCACTTTTCCTTTATACTTTGTATGAAGAAAAAAATCAGGATAAGAAACAAATTACAATGGGGAGTTTAGTGTGGTTGAATATTCTGTAAGCTTTCCCAAGAACATGTTCCCAGTTGACAAATATCCATTAGTTCAGTGACTGAAGAATTGCTTCAGGTCCCAGTGGGTGGAATATATGAGAAATTAGAAAAGCAGACCACTCTCTTTCCTTGACCCAATGCTAGACACTAATCTCTCTAGACAGTACAATGAGATTGAGTATGCTTCAATAGCCAACTCTTTTCTGTTGAGTTTGATAAGAAGGGAACAAGTGTCACCCAAATGAGACCTCTTTATCTAACTTTGGAGTGTGGACAGGAAATGAACAAGGGGGGAGTCAGAGATTGGAATTTTGGAGATATTGATCTGTAAAAACTTCTGGTCTGGCAATAATTAACACAGCGAGTGCCAAACTTGCCTCCCACATGCCCTTAGCCAGCCAACTATAGCTCCTTCTTTTAGGAGTTTC